CAAATAATAATATTACAAATAATGTATATTACAAATAATAATATTATTAATAATAAAATATTAGGTGCGCAACTAAGTTTTCGCTGTTTTTTTGATGAAAATGCAACTTTATTGTGAAAAAATGGTTACAAATGAATCATTCAAAATATTGCCCATCGCTAGCGACAACTTTTTCCCATCTTTCTGGCAGAGCTCGAATACCGTCACGGTAGAAGTGTTCGTCTTTTGAGGCTATCCACGAATCAAGCCATTTTGAGATGTCTTCATATGAGCGGAACTGCTGATTAGCCAGACCATGTGCCATCGAATGGAACAAGTAATAATCGGACGGCGCAATATCTGGGGAATATGGCGGGTGGGGTAGGACTTCCCATTTGAGCGTTTCTAAATAGGTTTTAACGGGTTTGGCAACGTGAGGCCGAGCGTTGTCATGCTGTAGAATCACTTTTTCGTGCCTCTGCTCGTATTGTGGCCGCTTTTCGCGCAGTGTTCGGCTCAATCGCATCAATTGAGTTCGATACCGTTCCCCAGTGATGGCTTCGTTCGGTTTCAACAGCTCATAATAAATAACACCGCCATGGTCCCACCAAATACACAGCAAAACCTTCGCAGCGTGAATATTCGGCCGAGCCGACGACGTAGAAGCATGACCGGGCAGTCCCCATGATTTTGTTCTCTTTGGGTTGCTGTAATGAATCCATTTTTCATCACCCGTAACGATGCGATGAAGAAAACCCTTCCTTTTTTGCTGCTGGAGCAGTTGTTCACAGGCGAAAAAACGACGCTCAACATCTCTTGGCTTCAAATCATAAGGAACCCAATTTCCTTGTTTTTGAATCATTCCCAACGCATGCAATCGCTTGGAAATGTCTTGGCGGGTAACTCCTAATGCTGAAGCAAGCTCTTTTTGCGTTTGGCACGGATCCTCATCGAGCAATGCCTCCAATTCAGCGTCTTCGAAGGTTTTTGACCTTCCTTCACGCGAACGGTCGTCAACATCGAAATCACCGTCTTTGAAGCGACGGAACCAATCACGGCACGTTGTTTCACTTAGAGCAGCATCTCCGTAAACTTTTTGGAGTTCTCGATGCGCTTCAGCCGCCGTTTTCTTCGAATGAAAGAAGAAAAGCAACACTTCCCGCAAATGACGATTATTTGGCACAAAATCAGACATTTTCACACAACTAAAAGTATATGACGCAAAAACAAAATCACTAATGTGTCAAAGCGGTTTGTTTACCATATGTCTAAGCTTGGTTCATGACGTTTTGGTTATGTCACAATCGACCAGCACTTACTACTGGAGCCATCTCTTGAAAAACAGCAGGAACTTAGTTGCGCACCTAATATTATTTGTAATAATTTCGGTGCGTCGAGTAGACAAAACTTTTCAGTATTGTCATAGAGAGGAAAGGATAGAGAGACAGTCGCGCCCGCGATTCAGATTATGGGCAAGAAAGAATTAGGCTCGCTCGCTAAGCGAGAATGAAAGCGAAAAGGAGGGAATGATATCCTCTCTTTCTCTCTCTCTCTCTCTCTCTCTCTCTCTCTCTCTCTCTCTCTCCCCCTCCCTCTCTCTCCCTCTCTCCCTCTCTCTCCCCTGCTCTCTCCCTCTCTCCCTCCGCTCTCCCCCGCTCTCCCCTCCCCATCCTTCCCTCTCAATCTCCCTCCCTCCCTCCCTCCCTACCTCCTCTCTCCCCCCCGCCTCTCGCTGGCTCGGCGCGTCGACGATTGCCGACGCGTCACTCACACGGATAGACCGAGCTGGCTGTATGCGTGCATGTGGAGGAGCGGGGGGAATCCTCGTGCAAGCCCGTCACCAAATTCGCATCACTGATACCAATGATGTCAAAACCGAACAAGCTGCGGACAAGCGTTACTTGTAAATACCGGAGATCAACTGTTCATCAGCTCATAGACAATTAATATGACGAGATACCCGTGGAGACCCGTGTACTTCTCTTTCGTCTTTGGGTACAATTGCGATCAATAAAAATTTTCACGAATTGTTCGGTTTTGACATCATTGGTATACGTGTGTATGTGTGTGTGTGTATGTGTACACGTACACGTCATCATTTTTATTCATGCTAAAAGAAATATATATGATTACGTAAAGAATTTGTCTGCGTATTATTATACATTCTACATAGTTCTCCCTGTGATAGTAAAAATAACACACTTGAACAACCTCTACGCTCATATCACAAAGCCTGATCCACTGCGCTACTGAAGCAAATTGGTAATTCTTCTGCTATAACGACATTAACAGAAAAGACTAAACTTCAAACTGCATTTCTCAAAAACGTTTAAGATTTGCACCGTTTGTGGATAGCATTTGTTACCGTTACATCAATATTATACTTTTCTAAAAGCAAAATCGCGCGGTGATTTCAAGGATGAAGATTCCTCTTGTGTGAGATATTAATTATTCATTCTTTATTAATGGGAAAAGATTTTCCTTTGGTTTAAATGTTCAAGAAAAGTTATTTGTTCTCTGAGAATCTTTCAATTTTTATGTTCGTGAAAAGTTTATAAAATTCGTAAAGAAAGAAAATTATTTTACTATCTACCCCATACAGCACAGAAATATTGCAGCAACATTGCAGCAATCTTGTTTTGCAAAATTGTATCATTGCAACATCATTGCAAAATGTTGCTGCAATGGTGCAGCAATATTGCAGCAACATTAAAATGTCCACTTGCAGTAATATTGCGTTGCAATGATGCAGCAATATTGCATTATAATAGCGCAGCAATATTGTACTGCAATACTGCAGCAACCCAGTAAGCAAAATGAGCGCAAATTGCGTACAAATTGGCAGCAAACCTGATCAGAAATTGATATCAAAACCATAGCCATCTGTGTCCTCATTAGGATCCGGTTTTGCTGGCAAGGCTTGATACCACATAATTTGCAGCAAGATTGCAGCAAAAACGGCGCAAACTTTTCAGCGCATAACTTAGTAACAGATAGGCGCCAAAAACCGAGCAAAGCATGCGCACAAGAGTTGAGAGCAAATTGCCTGCAAAACCAGAGCAAGTCTTGCACGCAATCAGCTGACGTGGATTGGCTTTTAAATGAACTCTAACCTATATATACACTCAAACGCAAAAAAACCTGGTACACTAAAAATTTGGGAAAAAGTTACAAAATTTCAAATGATCATAACTTGGTAAATAATGAAGATACAAATATGCGCAGAAATGCAAAATGAAGCTTGAAACGTCCTCTTTAAGAATATCTGAATGGCAATTATGCTCGGCCATTTCTTTCAAAATGGCGGATGACAAAGTGAGAGGATGCAAAATTGATAATCAAAGATCCGTGTTTGCGATGGTGCATGGTGTGCATCAGGTATCGCAGCGTAATGGGATCAAATGCACATGAAAGTATAGAGTGTTATCTTTAAAATGCTACTTTACCGAGCTCGATGTGATCATTTTTCACTGAGTTGTTCCAAATTTTGCTAAAAATGCGGTTTTCTTGTTAAATTTGCAGAATTCAGTGAATAAGTATCGCATCAAGCTCTATAACGAAGTATTTTAAAGAAATCATTCTATACTTTTAGATACTTTTCGTCCCATTGAGCTGCGACACTTACTTTGCTCCATATGCCGTCGCACGCTCGAACCTTTTTTTAGCAACTTTTCATGTTCTCCTTTATATCACCCGCTGTTCGGAACTAGCCCGAACATATGATAGCTCCGGAGAGCTGGCTGGAAGTACGGGATCGCAGAGCGACGTCCGCCTGCGTCTAGGCTCGCTCGAGTCCGCTCGGTGACCGTCCGGTCGTCCTGATCAAAGGCCGGGGCCTCGCAAGGCGATCACAGACCCTGCTGATCAGGCAACGTCGCGCGCCGACTGGGCCCTGCCCAGGGACGGCGGCGAGAACAAGAGAGAAGAAGCACGCGCACGTGCCGATGTAAAGTGACACGCAGTGTAAACGCAATGGACGCAATAGACGCAGTAGTAACGCAGAAGAGAATAACGCAGAAGAACGACGCAGAAGAACCTAAACGTAGCTATATATAAGCGAAACAACGTCGCCTACGCAAGTCCCGCAGGACACACGTCCGTGACGTCAACGGTGCGCGGCACCCGAAGCACGCCAAGGACGTGCAACGAAACGACCTCCGTCGTTTCGGATGGCCTGCCCTTCCGGGCGTAATGGCCAATAGCCAGCCACGGTCCCGAGGACGCGTGGAAACGGAGCTCCGAGAGCTCCGGCTCGCAGGACGACCAAGTCGCTCCTGCGAGAAAGCCAAGTTCCCAATGGACACTTGGACGAAGGAGCGCGACCGCTCTAGGACTGCGACCGAGCCGCTCCAAAACCGCCAAGGCCCCCTACGGACACTTGGGCAATAAGGGAGCTCGAAGCTCCGAGGAGACGGTCGAGTCGCTCCTAAGATCACGGCAACGCCGTGAGCCCGAGATCACAAAACGAGGTTCGAACCATTTGCCTCAACCCAGCAGGGTGTGTCGGCGCCACCTTCAACTCAGCAGAGTCTATAGAGCGATGGTTCGAATCTGAAACGAAATACCCGATCGCCCTAGGAAGCCTAGAAAGCGCGTCGGTAATCACCAGTAACACGATGCACTAACGTGTAGCACTACTTGCTACCTAAACTGGCCAGGCAGAAGACAAGACAAGGCAAGGACCAGGCATCGCGCGCCTGGTTATATATCCGGGCGGTCGAATCTTGCCCGCGGGCAGCGGAATCGCGAGCCGCGCCGTGTAGCGGCCGCGGTTGGACCTAGTGGGGGTCCCGCGCGCTCGCTCGCGAGAACCCGAGTCCCCCGCCGCCAGCGAGAACGCCCCGGGCACCAGGCCGCCCGCCCTGCAGCGTTGACTCGCACCGACTATCCGTACAGCACGTGATGCTGTACGGAACATACCGCCCGCCTCCGTCGCGGCGACGGAAGTCAGTGGTGGAACAAACCCCCACCAGGAAGGCCCCACTCGCGGCCTGGCGGCCGTGAGGGCCTGTTGATCCCCTTCATGTTGAAGGTTGATTGGGATGAGCCCCTTTCGGATCCACAGGGAGCCTCACCAGCCTGACCAGTGGCCGGGTCAGGGTCGAGTCCGCTGTGCGCACCTGCGCCACGCGGACGTGCCCATCCGGGCCAGGCAGCAAGCCGGTGATGCGGCCGAGAGGCCACCGGGTAGGAGGAAATCGGCTATCCGCCAAGAGCACGAGGTCGCCGATGTCTAACGGACGAGAAGCGATGAGCCACTTGCCCCGGACCTGGAGCTGGGCTAGATATTCTCTAGACCATCGCTCCCAAAGATGCTCCGTCATATGCTGGAGCAGCTGCCAGCGACTCATCCTCGCGACCTGAACGTCCCCGAGGGATCGCTCAGGCGGACACAACAGCGGGCGCCCAATCAGGAAGTGCCCAGGTGTCAGGGCCTCCAAGTCCTGTGGGTCGTCCGTCAACGGACACAATGGCCTGGAGTTGAGACAGGCCTCAATGCGAGCTAGAAGAGTGGCGAACTCCTCATAGGTCAGTGCCTGCTCTCCTATTACCCGTCGCAAGTGGTGTTTGACGGACCGCACTCCTGCCTCCCACAGTCCGCCGAAATGCGGAGCTGAAGGAGGCATGAACTTCCAGGTGATGCCCTGGTTACTCAAGGAGGCCGCGACTGGTCCCCCCAACGCCATGACCGCCTCAAACTGCCCTCGCAGCTCGCGGTCCGCACCCACAAATGTGGTCCCCCTATCGCTGTACACGGTAACCGGCAGGCCCCGCCGGGCCGCGAAACGATGAAAAGCCGCTAAGAAGGTCGGGGCCGAATAGTCACTGACCACCTCCAAGTGGACAGCGCGCGTGCTGAAGCAGACGAAGACAGCAATATATCCCTTGGAGGTGGTACGTCCGCGCCCTCGAGACGGACGCACCGCGACCGGTCCAGCATAATCCACCCCGGTGGCAGAAAACGGTGGATGAGGCAACACCCGATCGCGAGGCAGCGGAGCCATGAACGGGGTGATCGGGGTGCCCTTATGACGTGTGCAGCGCACACAGCCCCGGATCACCTGGCGCACGAAAGAGCGCCCAGCTGGAATCCAGAATTTGCGCCTCACGGTGAGCAACGTCAGCTGCACTCCCCCGTGCAGCGTGCGTTCGTGCGCATCTCGCACAACGAGAGTCGCGAGCCGAGAGCGTCGCGGTAGCAGGACTGGCTGCCTTCGAGCCGGATCGGGAGCGGTAGTCTCGGACCTGGGTCGGTTTGTTTAGCTCGGGCTCCGTTATGTCTAAGGAGGAGGACATTCTTGGGCTCATCGAGCTGCAATACGACCGGCAGCACCGCATGGAGCGGCTGCTGGACAATGCACGCAAGTCCGGTCAACTGAAGTCAGTTGGCGGGTTGACGTCTCGTTTGCAGGTTCTCGACACGTACTGGGCTCAGTTCCAGGATGATCATCGCACGATCCGAGCGTCTCGCCTCAAGACCGTGCGAGAGTCAGACTACGTGCAACAGGATGCCTGTGGCACGGTACAGGAAGTCTACATTGCGCAGCGCGCAGAAATCCAAACCCTGCTCGATGGGTTGAAGGTTCAGGAGGCTGAGTCGGCTGCTCACGCAGTTCCCGCGCAGGCGGTAGTGCCCGAGGCTTCGTTGCCTCGCATTCCCATTCCGAAGTTCGAAGGGAAGTTTGACGAATGGCGCAATTTTAAGGATCTCTTCGAGTCCTTAATAGTCGATAACCCGTCGTTAGCATCAGTTCACCGGATGCATTATTTAAAACAGAGCGTATCGGGAGAGCCTGAACGTCTGCTCCGGCACTACGGCGTCGCTACTGGCTCGTTTGAGCAAGCGTGGGAAGCGCTATGTGCACGGTACGATAACCGTCGTTTGCTTGTGGACCAGCATCTCGACGCTTTCCGGGATATTGGCCCGATGCGTCAGGAGAGCGTCTCCGAGGTTCGGAGGCTGCTGGATCGAGCCAGCGAGCTGCGAGCCGCCTTGCGCCTTCTTGACCAGCCAGTGGATGCTTGGGACGTGATATTGGTCAATATCCTCCGTTCCAAGCTAGACTCTGCAACGCGGCGGGCCTGGGAGATGGCCACCGCGGACCGGCGCGAGCCAGTGAGCTGGGACAGACTGGCAGTCTTCCTGGACGAGCGTCGGGTGGCGCTCGAGGCGGTTGCCGCGGCTCCGTCCATTGGGGACAGCCCCCGTGCCTCATCGGCATCCGAGCGGACTGGTCGACGATCGCTGCATCTCCATCGGCCCAAGCCGACCCGTTGCGCTGAGTGCGGTTCTGAGCATGGACTCAGAGAGTGTTCGGCCTTTAAAGATCGGCCGGTCTCTTCGCGACGGGCAAGGGTGCGCGCTCTCGGGTTGTGCTTCAACTGCCTCGGTCCGTCGCACCAGGCGGCCGCTTGCCCGTCTAAGGGTCGATGTCGGGAGTGCGGAGAGCCGCACCATTCACTTCTGCACTCCGCCCAGCAGTCTCCGGCCCCGGCGTCGGGGGAAGCGCCGGTCACGGCGCATGCTGCGACGCGGATGCCTGCGCAGCGAGTGCTTTTGGCCACAGCCAGGGTTTGTCTGATGGCGTCCGATGGCCGATCCGCTGTGGTTCGAGCGCTCATTGACCAGGGCTCTGAGGGGAGCCTGGTGTCCGAGGCGCTTGCGCAGCGGCTGCGCGCGTCTCGTAGATCGGTGGATGTCGGGCTGTCGGGCGTCTCAGAGGGACCCCCTCAGCGGGTGCGGGCCAGCACGTCATTGCGGCTCAGGGCAACTGCTGGCCTCCCGTTCTCCACCACGGTGGAGGCCCTCATTCTACCGAGGCTTACGGCGTACCACCCCCCGCAGAGGGCTCGGCTGACGGGGAAGTGGTCGCATTTGAGGAACCTCCGATTGGCGGATGATCACGATGATGACGAGCGCATCGAGGCGATACTTGGAGCGGAGGTATTCGCCGAGATCGTGTTGACGGGGCTTCGCCGGGGCCCGAGGGGAGCTCCCGTCGCGCAGCGTACCCGCTTGGGGTGGGTGCTGTGCGGGGCTCTCCCGTCTGCCGCCGGAGCGGGCGGCTCTCATTGTCATGTGGTGCAGTGTGCGTCGGACAACATGGCGGATCTCTTGCGGCGCTTCTGGGAGGTGGAGGAGATTCCGGTTGCTTCCCCGCTCTCTGAAGAGGAGCGGGCTTGTGAAGAGTTTTTCGCGGCGTCCTTTCGGCGTCGTGCGGACGGCCGCTATCAGGTGCGGTTGCCTTTCAGGAGCCTCCGACTGAGCTGTCTCTCGGCGACACTCGGCGGATTGCCACTGCCTCGTTGCATCGCTTGGAGCGGCGACTGCTTCGGCAGCCTTCCTTGGGCGGGGCCTATCGCGACTTTCTTGATGACTATGAACGACAGGGGCATATGATCCGCCTGCCGCTCAATGTCGAGACTCCGCGGCTCTCTTACTTTATTCCACATCACCCGGTGATTAAACAAGCCCCCGAGCTTAAAGTAAGAGTGGTGTTCAACGCCTCGCAGGCGTCCACCAATGGCCGGTCGTTGAACGACTTGGTGCACGTGGGGCCGCGCTTACAGCGAGAACTGGGCGAGATTCTACTTGCCTGGCGCATGCATCGAGTGGCCTTCTCTGCAGACATCGAGCAAATGTTTCGTCAAGTGCGGGTGGCTCCGGAGGATCAACACCTCCAACAGATTCTCTGGCGAGACAGCCAGACGCAGACAATATCGGTGTACCGGTTGACCACGGTCACCTATGGCATGGCGTGCGCTCCTTATCTGGCCATCCGCACGCTGCACCAGCTGGCGCTGGATGAGCGGGAACGTTATCCCCGGGCAGCAGACTTACTTCGTCGACAAACCTACGTCGACGATATTCTTGCGGGGGCAGATGACCTTGGGGAGGCACGCAGTCGACAGCGTGAGCTGAGCAGCTTGCTCATGGCGGGCGGGTTCCGACTCAGGAAGTGGGCGGCCTCACATCCGGAACTCTTGTCCGGTATCCCGGAGGGGGACCGCGAGCCTTTGGTGCCTCTGCCGGACCCTGGGGCCGTGGGTGCATCTGTGCTGGGGGTCGGTTGGATTCCGGTCGAGGATGCATTCTGCTTTTCGGTCAACCCCGGGGCTCAATCAGCCATCTCGAAGCGTGGCATCTTGTCAGTCGTTGCGCGATTATACGACCCCTGGGCTGGTTGGGGCCTATGGTAGTACTGGCGAAGATCCTCCTTCAGGACTTGTGGTTGGCCGGGCTCGGTTGGGACGAGGCTCTCCCTTCTCCGCTCTCGCGACGTTGGGACGCCTTTAGCACCGGGCTCGCGGGAGGTTTCCGCGATCCGAGTTCCTCGCTGGACCGGATGGTCGCCTGAAGTGGAGATCCAGCTTCACGGCTTCTCGGACGCCTCGGAGCGGGCGTACGCCGCCGTCATCTACTTACGGGCTCGACGGTCTGATGGGACCACCCGTGTCGCTCTATTGGCGTCCAAGACCAGGGTCGCCCCACTAAAGCGGGTAACGTTGCCCCGCCTGGAGCTGTGCGGTGCGCAGCTGCTCTCGCGCCTCATGAAGGCCATGGTGGAGGCGCTCGGTTGTGCCGAGGCCTCCCTGGTTTGTTGGACCGACTCTTCTGTCACGCTCCATTGGATAACAGGGCATCCATCTCGATGGACCACCTTTGTCGCCAATCGCGTCTCGTACATTCACGAGAGCCTTCCGCGGGCCTCGTGGCGGCATATCCCGTCTGGCGACAATCCCGCGGATTGCGCCTCCCGGGTTTGTTGGCCGGCGGGCTACGAGAACACGCCCTTTGGTGGCGTGGCCCCTCCTGGCTTGTCGAGGACCGGCGGGCTGGCCGGGTCTAACTTGCGTCGCGAGCGACCGAAGCACTTGCGAGGAACGGTGCATGGTTCACGTGGTGGCCGTGAACCCGGAGGACTGGTCCGGTGTCCTCCGAGCATGCTCCTTCCGCAAGGCCATCCGCGTGATGGCCTATGTACGACGATTCCTGCGAGTCCCACGGATCAGTGGACCCTTAACGGCGGACGAGCTGAGTGAAGCTCGACTGCGCCTGCTGCGGGTTACGCAGCACCGCTTCTTCGCGGAGGAATTGGGCCGTCCTGAAGCGGGGGGGAGCATTGATGGTGAGATCGGCGTTGCGGCCACTCAACCCCATGATGGACGAGCGGGACCTCTTGCGGGTGGGGGGCCGCCTGCAATTCTCAGCGTTACCGATCGATGCACGGCAGCCAGTCCTGCTACCGCGACGCTCTCGGCTCGCGACTCTCGTTGTGCGAGATGCGCACGAACGCACGCTGCACGGGGGAGTGGCAGCTGACGTTGCTCACCGTGAGGCGCGAATTCTGGATTCCAGCTGGGCGCTCTTTCGTGCGCCAGGTGATCCGGGGCTGTGTGCGCTGCACACGTCATAAGGGCACCCCGATCACCCCGTTCATGGCTCCCGCTGCCTCGCGATCGGGTGTTGCCTCATCCACCGTTTTCTGCCACCGGGGTGGATTATGCTGGACCGGTCGCGGTGCGTCCGTCTCGAGGGCGCGGACGTACCACCTCCAAGGGATATATTGCTGTCTTCGTCTGCTTCAGCACGCGCGCTGTCCACTTGGAGGTGGTCAGTGACTATTCGGCCCCGACCTTCTTAGCGGCTTTTCATCGTTTCGCGGCCCGGCGGGGCCTGCCGGTTACCGTGTACAGCGATAGGGGGACCACATTTGTGGGTGCGGACCGCGAGCTGCGAGGGCAGTTTGAGGCGGTCATGGCGTTGGGGGGACCAGTCGCGGCCTCCTTGAGTAACCAGGGCATCACCTGGAAGTTCATGCCTCCTTCAGCTCCGCATTTCGGCGGACTGTGGGAGGCAGGAGTGCGGTCCGTCAAACACCACTTGCGACGGGTAATAGGAGAGCAGGCACTGACCTATGAGGAGTTCGCCACTCTTCTAGCTCGCATTGAGGCCTGTCTCAACTCCAGGCCATTGTGTCCGTTGACGGACGACCCACAGGACTTGGAGGCCCTGACACCTGGGCACTTCCTGATTGGGCGCCCGCTGTTGTGTCCGCCTGAGCGATCCCTCGGGGACGTTCAGGTCGCGAGGATGAGTCGCTGGCAGCTGCTCCAGCATATGACGGAGCATCTTTGGGAGCGATGGTCTAGAGAATATCTAGCCCAGCTCCAGGTCCGGGGCAAGTGGCTCATCGCTTCTCGTCCGTTAGACATCGGCGACCTCGTGCTCTTGGCGGATAGCCGATTTCCTCCTACCGGTGGCCTCTCGGCCGCATCACCGGCTTGCTGCCTGGCCCGGATGGGCACGTCCGCGTGGCGCAGGTGCGCACAGCGGACTCGACCCTGACCCGGCCACTGGTCAGCTGGTGAGGCTCCCTGTGGATCCGAAAGGGGCTCATCCCAATCAACCTTCAACATGAAGGGGATCAACAGGCCCTCACGGCCGCCAGGCCGCGAGTGGGCCTTCCTGGTGGGGTTTGTTCCACCACTGACTTCCGTCGCCGCGACGGAGGCGGGCGGTATGTTCCGTACAGCATCACGTGCTGTACGGATAGTCGGTGCGAGTCAACGCTGCAGGGCGGGCGGCCTGGTGCCCGGGGCGTTCTCGCTGGCGGCGGGGGACTCGGGTTCTCGCGAGCGAGCGCGCGGGACCCCCACTAGGTCCAACCGCGGCCGCTACACGGCGCGGCTCGCGATTCCGCTGCCCGCGGGCAAGATTCGACCGCCCGGATATATAACCAGGCGCGCGATGCCTGGTCCTTGCCTTGTCTTGTCTTCTGCCTGGCCAGTTTAGGTAGCAAGTAGTGCTACACGTTAGTGCATCGTGTTACTGGTGATTACCGACGCGCTTTCTAGGCTTCCTAGGGCGATCGGTATTTCGTTTCAGATTCGAACCATGCTCTATAGACTCTGCTGAGTTGAAGGTGGCGCCGACACACCCTGCTGGGTTGAGGCAAATGGTTCGAACTCGTTTTGTGATCTCGGGCTCACGGCGTTGCCGTGATCTTAGGAGCGACTCGACCGTCTCCTCGGAGCTTCGAGCTCCCTTATTGCCCAAGTGTCCGTAGGGGGCCTTGGCGGTTTTGGAGCGGCTCGGTCGCAGTCCTAGAGCGTTCGCGCTCCTTCGTCCAAGTGTCCATTGGGAACTTGGCTTTCTCGCAGGAGCGACTTGGTCGTCCTGCGAGCCGGAGCTCTCGGAGCTCCGTTTCCACGCGTCCTCGGGACCGTGGTTGGCTATTGGCCATTACGCCCGGAAGGGCAGGCCATCCGAAACGACGGAGGTCGTTTCGTTGCACGTCCTTGGCGTGCTTCGGGTGCCGCGCACCGTTGACGTCACGGACGTGTGTCCTGCGGGACTTGCGTAGGCGACGTTGTTTCGCTTATATATAGCTACGTTTAGGTTCTTCTGCGTCGTTCTTCTGCGTTATTCTCTTCTGCGTTACTACTGCGTTTATTGCGTCCATTGCGTTTACACTGCGTGTCACTTTACATCGGCACGTGCGCGTGCTTCTTCTCTCTTGTTCTCACCGCCGTCCCTGCGCACGCGCGCCTGGTTATATATCCGGGCGGTCGAATCTTGCCCGCGGGCAGCGGAATCGCGAGCCGCGCCGTGTAGCGGCCGCGGTTGGACCTAGTGGGGGTCCCGCGCGCTCGCTCGCGAGAACCCGAGTCCCCGCCGCCAGCGAGAACGCCCCGGGCACCAGGCCGCCCGCCCTGCAGCGTTGACTCGCACCGACTATCCGTACAGCACGTGATGCTGTACGGAACACCCGCCATTTTGAAAAAATATCGTTGCGCACAATTTCGATAAATCTTTCGAAAGTACGGTTTCAAAGCTTTCAAACCGTTTTTGAAATTTTCTGCTAGGATATTTAGGTGTCGAGATATTCAATTTCGAATTTGCAACAAATGTCGATTCAGCGAGGCTTAAGGGGCTAAGAGGCTCTGCGGTTCGTTTGGCTCTTTCATAATTTCAATAGCCGCGTTCATTATTCTCTATACAATAATTTACACAATTTTGCGAATTGGAAATTTAATTTTTTTCAAAAGTTATCATTCTTTACCCTTCAGTTACGCATGATCACTGTGGTATACATTTTAGTTCGCGAAGCTGTCCCTAGCTTCTCTACCTTCTCCGTACGATTGGCCATTATGGTACACAGCTTGAATATGCTGTTCAGGATCGCGCCTGAGTTCGCGGTGACCCGGCGCGCCGAGTCGCTGGACGCCACCTGAACGTCGAAATTCCCTGGCGCTCCTAGTCCACGGAGCCGCCGCGACGCGGCGATCTGGGTTGTCGCGCGCGCGAGCCCCTCGGCTCGCACGCGAGTTCGAGCTGCCCAGGGCATATAAGAGTGCCCGCGGAGACGATCAGAGATTGCCTTCGTACAGCTTTTGGCCTTCGTACGGTCCACCGCCGATAGTGGCACTATCTCTTGTACGCTGGACTTCGCGAGTTTGTCAGTACGCCGGGCTTACGTTCTGGCTTGACTGAGATTCTGTCGGTGCGCCGGGCTTTAACGCCTGGCTTGACTGGATTTTTCTTAAATGTATGTGCCAAGACAATAAACAAAGACAAACAATTTTCCTTTTCCGAACGTGTTCACTCCGATAAGCGCTGCCTCGTGCGACTTTTCTTTTTCCGTGATCTTTTCCTTTCGAGGCGCGTTGCTTCGTGCAACTTCATCAATTTAAACCATAATTGATTGTTTCGCATCGAAATTATTGCGTCGATTATGGCGACGATAAATCCTGAAAAGGCTGCTCAAGTTATTGCTTTAATTGAAGATGGCAGAAGTCGAAGGTACGTTGCTCAGGCACTTGATTTGTCAGTGTCAACTGTGCAACGTGCTTATGCCAGGTACTTACAAACCAATTCTTTCCATAGAAGGCCTGGTTCGGGACGTCCTCGATGTACCAATCACAATGATGACCGATTTATTGTTTCAAATTCGTTAAGAGACAGACATCGAACATCTGTTCAAATTAGAAACAATTTAAGGGATGTCCGCAACATTAATGTATCCGTTAACACCGTTCGGAGAAGATTAAAGGAACAAAATCTGCTTTCGCGCAGGCCAGCAGCTGTACCTTTGCTTAAATGTCACCATCGCGTAGCTCGACTCAATTTTGCAGTTGAGCATAGAGACTGGACTTACGCAGACTGGAGCAAAGTACTCTTTAGCGATGAATCTCGT